TAGGTCATATACATCAAAAAGGCTTCAAATGTATTCAGTATTATATGAACATGTTTTAATTGGGGTGAGGACATCACATCCTCTAGGGGGGTCCGGGGGTATGCCCCCCCGGGAAGAAATGTTTGAACATTTAAAGTAAAATGCTTCAATCTGGTGCACTTAGAGCACACATTACTAGAGACCTGATCTAGGGGGTACAACTCTAACGGCCCGTCCACACAGCGGCGTGCGTTGAAGCTTGCCGGCGGGCGTGTCTGAAATTCGACCAACAACCAATCACATGAATCTCCCGCCCCTGACATACAAGCAGCGGTTTGATTGGCTAGAGCTTGTACTGGCATATGATTCGATTGGCTGACGCTTCTGCCGTGGCTTCAAAACTTGAACATTGCTCAACTTTTGCAGCGAGCCACGCCAGCAAAGTGACGTCACCCCATTCAAAGTGAATGGTGAAGCTTTCAACGCACGCTGCTGTGTGGACGGGCCGTAAAACACCCAAATGAAAAAGATTGGTTTACATTTTAATAATCAAATAAGTAAATCAACATAACCAATAACCTACCATAGTCAATAGTAAAGAAATGCAACTTATTTTATTTTTGTTGTTCATTCATATCTTATTTTACCTAGTTAACGTTTATTTATGCATATTTTTGTATCTCTCAAGTTTTAAACGATATTTTTGGTTTACTGTCCTATAGTATACATTGAAATGATTTCAAACCTGTTTATCCCAATAATTATAAAAGAGTGCCTTGGAAATATTTGTTTACATAAATTGCATTTATCTCTCTCGCTCGATCCCACACCCACTTTGGCTGTGAGCTGCGGACGCCTGATAAGCCAACACCCCCCACTTTCATCACTTACAGCGCCCATCGTACAGGGCAAATTAAAAGTGTAACCGGGGTGAAAAGGGTGTTACCTTGACTTAATTATGAATGCTGTTACATCAAGGCCGAAAATTAGGATGAGCGCAAACAGTCAAAATGTTTTTTTCCCTCCCAGAGCTGCCAGCGCAGCGCCCCCCCCCAGATCTGGCGCCCTAGGCGACTGCCTATGTCGCCTATATGCCAAAAAACGGCCCTGACTTAACCTAACAACTTATTTAATTTGTTTTCACAATTACTAATGCCATGTTTTTTTTTATTCTTGAAGAGAATGTCTTTTTTTCTGGCATTCATGCAGGATTAACAAAAATAAGAATAACATTGAGAACAATCTTTGAAGTAAATGGCTGTTGTTAAACGCTTCCCACATTTACTTCAATCGTACAATAGAAAAGATAAAAGTACCCAAGGAATACACAATAGAATATATAAAGAATAAATGAAAAATCTCTACAAAAGACCAATATACTACAAAAACAGAAACGTATTGTCATGTTGGTAATATACATCAAAAAGGCTTCAAATGTATTCGGTATTGTATGAACATGTTTGAATTGGGGTGTGGACGTCACATCCTCTAGGGGGGACCGGGGGTATGCCCCCCCGGGAAGAAATGTTTGAACATTTAAAGTAAAATGCTTCAATCGGGTGCCCTTTGAGCACACATTACTAGAGACCTGACCTAGGGGGTACAACTCTAAACACCCATATGAAAAAGATTGGTTTACATTTTAATAATCAAATAAGTATGTGAACATAACCAATAACCTACCATAGCCAATAGCAAATAAATGCAACTTATTTTATTTTTGTTGTTCATTCATATCTTATTTTACCTAGTTAACGTTTATTTATGCATATTTTTGTATCTCTCAAGTTTTAAACGATATTTTTGGTTTTCTGTCCTATAGTATACATTGAAATGATTTCAAACCTGTTTATCCCAATAATTATAAAAGAGTGCCTTGGAAATATTTGTTTACATAAATTGCATTTATCTCTCTCGCTCGATCCCACACCCACTTTGGCTGTGAGCTGCGGACGCCTGATAAGCCAACACCCCCCACTTTCATCACTTACAGCGCCCATCGTACAGGGCAAATTAAAAGTGTAACCGGGGTGAAAAGGGTGTTACCTTGACTTAATTATGAATGTTGTTACATCAAGGTCGAAAATTAGGATGAGCGCAAACAGTCAAAATGTTTTTTTCCCTCCCAGAGCTGCCAGCGCAGCACCCCCCCCCCCCATATCTGGCGCCCTAGGCGACCACCTATGTCGCCTGGCTATGCCAAGAAGCGGCCCTGTACACCATGCTAAATATGTCTGCATAAAGCTGAGTTATGATCGGTCATAATAACACAGAATTTGGTGATGATTAAATAGTTTACAGTGAGATTTACTCCCATACTTTTGGCCATACTCACGCAGCCCTACAAATGAATTGAGATTTCCACACAAATGTTCTTTAGCAAGTGTGCAGAGCAGTGTTGATTTAAAAAAGCAATTTGAAGGTTGGATATTTGTAAACCTTTTTTTGTGTATATATATTCATAATTTAAGATGTAAATGAATTCCAGTTTATTTGTAGTACTTTCTATTTTTATTGTGACATTTGGTGGCATCAATGTCTGCATTTGATACAGATAATGGAGCAGTTGCTTTAGGGCCACAGTGTAGGCCTATATCCCTTAAGGTCAAATAATGAGATCCTCGACCTCCGCCCCCCCCCCCTCTCGCACCTCCACACAGAGCCCCCCCCCCACATATCAAATCCCAACTTAACCCCTGCTTCTAACTAGGCTACCTTAAATAAAGTCACTAATTAATTAAACCAGTTCAATACGCATTATTCTTATTCTTATCATTATGAGCGCAGCCAGTAACGGTAAGGTATCTAATTACTTATTTAGGCTATTTAGTATTCCGTAACTTAATAACAGAGATGGTCAAACTAAAGTGGTAGAGACATGGCAGAAATTCTACAATGAAGCAGGACAGTGAAGTATTCACCCATGAGAGGGCGATCAAGAAAAGAGAGCGAGCGGCCCCGTTGACGGAGTTTACAGATGAAAAGACACACAATCACAACAAGTAGGCTATATTTAGGTGTTTTTTTTGTAAATAACCAACGGTATCAAGAGGAAGTAAAGTCCCCTGGTTTGTCCCTTATACCCTAACTGCCATGATGAGACAACTCAAAATCAAGTTTCCAAAATCCGAAACTGAGGTGGTTTTAACGCACCGGCAGATGACAGCGCTGACAAAGTGTGTTTCCCGCAGCGAGACGCTACTAATTGTGGGCTTATCATGTTGATTCGGCCACAACAGAAAAAAAAAAGAAAAAAATTCTCGCTCTCTCTAGAGGGGCAGGTCAGCCAAAAAGGGCAAACGGGCCGTTGCCCTGGCAACATTAGCCCGTACCTGTGCACGTCCCTGCACCTATCAATCATCAAACCGTGGGGTCTTATTTCATTACGTGTTGATTTCTATCAACACGTAATATTGTATCGATGTATATAGAGATGTAGCTACTACAGCAAATGCAAAAGTATTCTCCGTCGGGACTTCCTGGAACAACACCACGCCGTTATCTTGATTCTGATTGGCCAGAAGACATTATCAAAGATGTTCTATTGAGAAGACGATCACTACCTGACAAAAGTTTTCAAAACCGTTTCTAGTCTTCGGTATTCTTGTTTTTGGCGTGAGAATAGTTTGGGCAGCGTGAGAGCGTGAGATTGAGAGTGAAAGCGTGTGTCACACGCCAGATGCGTGAGAGTTGGCAACCCTGTTGACAGTATTAGTTATTTTGCAGATTCAGATTAATAAAAATAAGTCAAGGAGTAAATTGTGATTTATAGATTAAACTACCCAGCAGCACATATGTGTACACTAAATGAGGTCCACCTTTACCAGCTGCAATATTAGTTATGCTTGCACAATAATGCACTAGTTATAATTAGGTAGTATGTAAGTCAAAGTATACTTAAGTAGAGTACTTGCAAATGTTGTAAATCTCAAGATGAAGTACGCCATCGTGTGGCGCAGCCAGCTCAAGTCAGCAAGAAGAAACAGCAGCCTCAGACAGATCCCATGGTACACATATCATTATCATGACTTATAGTTAAGTATTGATGTAGCAGTATTTACTCCAGAAAAATCCACCTGGGGTGATCTAAAATGAGTTATTGTTATTGATGACATTCATTTTCACATTTTTTAGTATTTTCATCACTAAATATCTTTTTTCAAATGTTTAGTGTATAAGTCTCAGAAAAGTGTGAAAATGCATATCATTAATTTGCATCACTTCCTATTATTTGTGTGGTTAAAGTGATTCTTCGCCCACAATCTGTCTTTCGAGTACCAAACAATCTGTAGCTTTGAACGAAAGCCTGAAATGTTTTTTTTGTTTTTTAAAACATCAGCTTAGAGTTTAAGTAATTGATTGTTAGGGCTGCAAATAACAATTATTTTCATTATTGATTAATGTGATTTTTTTTCTAGAATAACTGATAAATCATTTAGTCTTTCAAATCTCATTAATGATCGAAAAATCTCAATATTGATTATTACTCTGCTGCTTGAATAGTTACAAATCTATGTATTATGTGCAACAATTTGAGAAGTATTCCCCTTATTTAACACAAATCCAATGTCCAGCATACTTGGAATTCCACCGAGGCCGCGTCCTTGGTTTGGGGGAAATTTCGAGGCTGCACATGGGTAGACTTTGCGTCCTTAAAATCCCCGCAATGCTTTGCGCACGGACCAATTTCAAAAACCCTTGCGGAGAATGTCTGAACCGACGCAGCACACATTTAAATGTAAGTATGTAGTGGCGTAGAACATGTGTTGGTAAATATGTTACTTTGTTACATTTGTTATCACCAAAAATGTGTTCCGTGAAAGTAAAGCAAGTTCATAATTAGATAGACATCGTGAGGTATTTATTTTCGGTACAGTTTATGTTGAAACCGTTAGAGAGAGTGGCACACTTGTTAGCCTGTTCCATTCTTCTTCGTTTTCCGAAGCCGTGGCTTGGAACTACGCGACTACCAAACCAGCATCCTTGAGATTGAGAAACGGCCTGAATCTGGAGGAGGAAGAGGACGAGAGAGCTGAGGAGCTGCAGAGGAGGAAAAGGGAAGAGCAAGGGAAAGTATCTGCAAGGTAAGACAGTTATTTACCAATCTTCACTGATTTGAGTATGCTTATAGGTCGACAGGTTTTTACTGCATATGTGAAAAGTTGTTGGTTAAAGTCTTTTGTGGCTCTAGAGGAAGTCTGACTCTTATCACTTCTGTTTCATACCGTTGAGGTTCACAAGTGGCTTCGTGAATCTGATAAACAGTTGTTGTAACTCTGCAGGTTCATCGAGGCTCTGAGAGCTCGGATGAAGGAGCGAGTGTCTCAGGAGAAGCTGGAGCCTCCTCCTCTCTGCTGCTGCGCATCATCTTTCTGGGACTCCAGAATCATAACGCTTAAAATCACAAGGGAGTACAAGTAGAAATAAAACGTTGAGTTCAAAGGTACTGCAATAAAAAAGATGAACAGGGCTAAGGTGAATGCTCAGTTCTGATTGGTCATTTGGACCTTCTGCAGCAATAAGACCAAAGTCTAAGGATAGTGAGAGCTGTAAAGCTTCAATGAATATAAGCTCATCGAAACACACATTTTACTTTAATGTCATGAAGAAGCTTAATCTTAAAATAGTGTTCAATATCATGTGGTATGATCCTTAATACCAATGAAAGGGTGAAGATATGATCAAATGAATAAATGAGAGTAAAAAAGTGTCAGGAAGAAAAACAAAAACACTTGAGTTGATGGAATTGATGTAGATATTAGGATTATTATTTATACATTTACTGTGATAAATGTTGAAAAATAAATATGAATGAGTTTGCTCATGTTTTGAAGAAATATTCCCAAAATGAATTGAACATACATTTAGCCATTTTGAATTTTATTGACAGAGAAAACACGATAAACAAATAAAAACTGAACAGCAGCTGTGGTTCCTAACAACTCACATTGAGAGAGTATCTTTACTCCAACTGGATGATATGAACACAGAGAGACAGACGTGTTGGCAGAACATGTTTCCTGTTTGTGACAGAAAAATAAAACCATGTGAAACTGGTTTAGTGTCGCTCAGCCTGTTGAAATGTTGAGTCCTCACTGGAGGACAAAGGCACGATCCTCTCCTTTTCTGTGGCATTTTATGAGCTTTTTAATAATTGACTAAGTGGATAAAGCATAAAGGAGCAGTTTGTTTATTGAGCTGTCCCATAGACTAAGTCTGACTCCTGCAGGGGCCGGAGTTTGAAACCTGACAAAAAAAGTCTGTCTGCTGCAAGTTGCCCCCTCTCCCCTTCTTTCATTAAATAAATGCAAAAAGCAGAAATAAATGATCTTTAACATATTCCTTATTAATTATTTTATCTTTTGAGTACGTCCTCCAACGGATAAACAAGTCATAAAGATGTCAGGATAAAAGTATAAGTTGAGGGGTTTTGCAATGAAAACAATGAACGTAACAAGACACCTAAAACGTGACTGTGCTCTTCCAGACTGTTATGTTTGTGTGACTCTAAACATAAATACTGTACAGTGGGGCAAACAAGTATTTAGTCAGCCACCAATTGTGCAAGTTCTCCCACTTAAAAAGATGAGAGGCCTGTAATTTTCATCCTAGGTATACCTCAACTATGAGAGACAGAATGAGAAAAAAAAATCCAGAAAATCACATTTTCTGTAAGTCTTCACAAGGTTTTCACACACTGTTGCTGGTATTTTGGCCCATTCCTCCATGCAGATCTCCTCTAGAGCAGTGATGTTTTGGGGCTGTCACTGGGCAACACGGACTTTCAACTCCCTCCAAAGATTTTCTATGGGGTTGAGATCTGGAGACTGCCTAGGCCACTCCAGGACCTTGAAATGCTTCTTACGAAGCCACTCCTTCGTTGCCCAGGCGGTGTGTTTGGGATCATTGTCATGCTGAAAGACCCAGCCACGTTTCATCTTCAATGCCCTTGCTGATGGAAGGAGGTTGTCACTCAAAATCTCACGATACATGGCCCCATTCATTCTTTCCTTTACACGGATCAGTCGTCCTGGTCCCTTTGCAGAAAAACAGCCCCAAAGCGTGATGTTTCCACCCCCATGTTTCACAGTAGGTGTTCTTTGGATGCAACTCAGCATTCTTTCTCCTCCAAACACGTCTAGTTGAGTTTTTACCAAAAAGTTCTATTTTGGTTTCATCTGACCATATGACATTCTCCCAATCCTCTTCTGGATCATCTAAATGCTCTCTAGCAAACTTCAGACGGGCCCGGACATGTACTGGCTTAAGCAGGGGGACACGTCTGGCACTGCAGGATTTGAGTCCCTGGCGGCGTAGTGTGTTACTGAATAGCCTTTGTTACTTTGGTCCCAGGTCTCTGCAGGTCATTGACTCGGTCCCCCCGTGTGGTTTTGGGATTTTTGCTCACCGTTCTTGTGATCATTTTGACCCCACGGGGTGAGATTATGCGTGGAGCCCCAGATCGAGGGAGATTATCAGTGGTCTTGTATGTCTTCCATTTTCTAATAATTGCTCCCACAGTTGATTTCTTCACACCAAGCTGCTTACCTATTGCAGATTCAGTCTTCCCAGCCTGGTGCACATCTACAATTTTGTTTCTGGTGTCCTTTGACAGCTCTTTGGTCTTGGCCATAGTGGAGTTTGGAGTGTGACTGTTTGAGGTTGTGGACAGGTGTCTTTTATACTGATAACGAGTTCAAACAGGTGCCATTAATACAGTTAACAAGTGGAGGACAGAGGAGGCTCTTAAAGAAGAAGGTTTGGTTACAGGTCTGTGAGAGCCAGAAATCTTGTTTGTTTGGAGGTGACCAAATACTTATTTTACCGAGGAATTTATCAATTAATTCATTAAAAATCCTACAATGTGATTTCCTGGATTCTTTCCCCCCATTCTGTCTCTCATAGTTGAAGTGTACCTAGGATGAAAATTACAGGCCTCATCTTTTTAAGTGGGAGTACTTGCACAATTGCATGCAATAAGACCAAAGTCTAAAGATAGTGAGTGCTGTAAAGCTTCAATTAATAAAAGCTCATCGAAACACACATTTGACTTTAATGTCATGAAGGTGCTTAATTCAATTCAATCTTTATTTCAGACTCATGGTCCATATCACATACAAAATGACAAAATACACAACAATAAATAAGATTAAAAAGCCAAACAAAATGAAAAACATGAAATCAGTCCAATGACAGCTCGCCACACATGCTCACTGTCTGTAGAGGCTGTTGCGCTAATGTCTCCAAATCATGGAAGAGAACCGAGTATAACTCTTCACAGGTTTAACTAAAATCGAGATAACATGATTGTCAGTCTGCTAGGCGACACATGAATTTGTACATTACTTTTCTTAAAAGGGCTTGACAGGTCGGTACCCCCAAGTTAACAAACAGCTGGCTGCCACTGCCATCTTGGTACCCTCAGCAGCAACCGTAAAGCATCATTGTATGCAACTTTTAGTTTGTGTATCCTTCTAGCCTTGTAGTTACTCCACAGGTGAGCCGTGTACAATGGTGTACAGAAAGCTTTAAAAAGTGATACCTTGACATCTACAGAGCACTTTGTAGATGAATATGTTTGCCTGGGCATACCGTTTGCAGCGTTGTCTATGGATGTCTTTGTCATCTGTGAGACCATCAGAGATATAATGACCAAGGTACTTAATCTCACTGCACACAAGAAGAATGTTGCTACTGAGAATACAATTAGGAAAACCTTTTTATCCTCTTCGCACAATCCTGATGCTACTCTTCTTGGCGTTATACTTAATATTAAAATCAATGACATACTGGGAACAAATCCTCAGAAGCTGCTGTAAGCCTGCACTGCACGGGGAAAAGATGATTAAATCATCTGTGTACACAAGGTGGTTGACAACAGTAACACCGATGACACAGACAGTTTTACACAAGTTCAGTTTCCTACACAGATCATCCATGTACAGATTAAACAACAAAGGAGATCAAATCCCACCTTGCTTGACCCCATTACCAACATAAACATTTTCAGACACAGTATTGCCCCACTTCACCTGCATAGTCCGATGTGCATACCAGAAGGCTAAGATCCTTATTATGTAGTTGAAACATGGTGGAATTTTGGCTTCTATATTTTGCTATAATGTCTTTTAAAGCAAAAATACACACATCATGCCGTGTTTTCTGTTAAAACCAAACTGGTTGTCAGCTGTGGTAATATACCTTTCCAGCCTATCCAACAGAATTCTCTCCAGCATTTGGAGAGAATGCTAGCTAAAGCAATAGGTGTCAGGTTTGGGGGAAATAGGACCCAAGTGCATTTTAAAGGACTAAAAAGGGTAAGGTAACACAAAGCAATGGGTCTGTAATTATCAATGCCATTAATCTTCCCAGCTTTCTCCTTGATGACTGGCACAAGTAGCACAGATAACATGGAAACTGGTAAGACACCATGATTAAGGAAACCAGTAAGACACAGAGCAACAAGAGGAGCAAGCTTAAGACTGGCATATTTGAAGTGTTCGGCTGAGATGAGATCCGGGCCACAAGCTTTGTTATTTTCTAGATTCATTATAGTGTTGAAGACTTCCTCTGATCTAACTGTCACCTTTTCAGTGGAGTCAACCTTTTCAACCACAAATGCATCACTCTTAACACAGTTGAACAACTCATGATAGTGTTGTCGCCACAGTTCTGCGATGCTGCCTGACCCACACACTCCTTCAATGGAAGACGGTGAAGGAGTCTTACAGCTGTTTATGACTTTGACCTCTTTCCAGAAATCATAGCAACTGTTGTTGCGCAGCTTTCTGGCAAGTGAGTCAGCCCTCATTGTGTCCTCATTTTTTTTAATGAATACTTATTTTTGGCATTACTGGCCTGTTTATGTTCAATGCTTAATCTTAAAATAGTGTTAAATATGTGAAATGTACATTTCCAACAATCTTCCTTGCCTGTCAGTGTTTAAGATTGAACACCGGTCAGATGATCACAAAGAGGAAACAAATGGGTTAAAAACATGTTTGAGTCAGAACTTGAAAGTTCCGAAGTTCATCTTTCCGATATATCTGCTGGTAATAAAAACAGATGACTGCATTTATAACTATCAATGATTAACTAGTGAAAGAGATTAGAGGATTGAAAGCTCATTCTGACATTGTTGAAGAGAGCCTCGACACCAGTACACTGCGGGAGGTCTCATCGACATTTAGAGGCAAACCGAGGGGAAGAAAAAGTTGGTGAGTGATAATTTTGAAACACCAAAGGATAGCTGCTCTTTTTCCTGAGCTGCCATGTGTGTTCAGAGACTTTCAGAGATCCTGTGTCTCTGAGCTGCAACCACAGCTTCTGTTCGAGCTGCCGGCAGAAACTCTGGGAACAAAGTAAGAACAAAAATAGTTCTTCAAACTTTTATATATTAGCATTTCCTTTCTTTCCTATGTTGTTGTTTTTTTCATGGAATTAAATCTTATGTGTTTTTCTTCCAACAGATACCTGGACAAAGTCCTCGTCCTGAACTGAATACCAAAGTTCATTTCCCTCTGAAAGACATCCTGACTCCATCTGCTGGTGAATACATGACATAGCAGCATTTCCTGCTGTTGATCAATCATCCTGTGACAGAGGGCAGAGAAAAACAAAGAGGATTTTGACATTGTTGAAAAGAGCGGGGACGCCATTACAGGGTGTGAGATCTCTGCTGGGAGACACGTTTGGAGGATCTGAAACACTCAAGAGAAAGGACATACCTTAGTGAGTTTTGCTTTTAAAAGACAACAGTGACCGAGACAAATGGCTGAGAAAATTCTTCTTGAAAGTTTCCTGAGCTGCCATGTGTGTTCAGAGACTTTCAGAGATCCTGTGTCTCTGAGCTGCAGCCACAGCTTCTGTTCGAGCTGCCTGCAGACATTCTGGGAACAAAGTAAGAACAAAAACTGTCCCATTTGTAAAAGAAAGTCCTCAAAAGAAAAACTTTGGGTGAACTTTACACTAAAGGAGCTGGCTGACTCCTTTGCTGAGAGACAGGAAGCTGGATCATCTGAGACAGAAAAAGGAGAGAAGAAGGTGGAGGTGGTGTGTAGTAAACATCAAGAAGAGCCTACATTGTTCTGTAAGGATGAAGAGAGAGCTGTGTGTCCTGTCTGTGACTTTTCTCTCCACCAGAGTCACAAGGTAGTTCCTGTAGAACAAGCAGTCAGTGAGCTGAAGGACCTGCTGAAATCTGACTTAGAGTCTCTGCAGGACAAGAGGGACACATACAAAGGAGTGGAGACAACATACAATGAAGTGATTCAAGTGTCCAAGAAGCAGCTGCTGTCCACAGAGAGGCAGATCAGAGCAGAGTTCATCAAGCTCCATCAGTTCCTGAAAGAGGAAGAGGAGACCAGACTGGCAGCTCTGAGGGAGGAAGAGGAGCAGAAGGGGAAGACTATCAGCAGAGAGATGAAGAGCATTCAGGAGCACATCTCCTCTCTGTCACACAGTATCTCTGCTGTTGAAGAAGAGCTGCAGAAACACAACGGGCCCTTCCTCAGCAGTTATAAAGCCACTCAGAGCAGAGCCAGAGTCCAGAGCTCACTGTCAGACCCACAGCTGCTCCCAGGAGCGCTGATAGATGTGGCCAAACACCTGGGCAACCTGTCCTTCAGAGTCTGGGAGAAGATGAAGGACCAGGTCCACTTCAGTCCTGTCATTCTGGACCCAAACACTGCAAGCAGCTGGCTCTCTCTGTCTGACGATCTGACCAGTGTGAGACGTGGAGACAAAGATCAGCAGCTTCCTGGTAATCCAGAGAGATACACTCACTATGCTAGTGTTCTGGGCTCTGAGGGCTTCAGCTCAGGGAGACACAGCTGGGAGGTGGAGGTGGGAGATTATCCTGACTGGTATATAGGTTTGACTAAAGAGTCAGTTGACAGGAAGGGTGAGGTATTTGCCTCACCAAAATTTGGAATCTGGTGTTTAGCACATCGCAGTGGAAAATACACTACTGGTGCTGGTAGGACTCTCAGAGTGAAGAAGAATCTCCAGAGGATCAGAGTCCAGCTGGACTATGGGGAGGTGTCCTTCTACGACCCTGAAGGCATGACTCACATCTACACTTACGGAGACACTTTCACTGAGGAACTCTTCCCATATTTCAGTATTGGAACAGCTGGTGATGCTAAAACTGCTGATATCAAAATCTGTCAAACTAAGATTCCTCTGTGATGCTCAGGAGTGTTTGTTCAGACTTTATTCTGACTTCACTGTCCGTCTAGATCTCTTTGAAATAATCAAGATAAGAAACAGATGATCATCAGATCATAATTTTAGCCTGTAAGATTTCTAAATGTTCTGAAAATGTGATCATGTTTTATTTACAGCTTTCCCAAAGTCCCAGTGTAAAAAAAACATTGTTTTTAGTTATAGTTAATATTTGGTAATAGTTGTTCATAGGCTGTGTGTCGTGTTCATGTAACTCACTGACATTTTCTTTTTTTTATCTTAATCTGAAAATAATTGTTGACACATGGAAGAGGAATGTTTACATTTTTTAACCAACATCTTTAAATCAATTAACAGATCTTCTGTTTTCCTTTAATAGAGAGGCGAAGTCCCGCTCATCTACTTCCGACCCATGGGACCTTATTTCGGAAAAAGTATGTATTGAAGTCAATGGGGAGAGAAAGATTATGTTTCGATCCCGTTTGAATTGTGCCAAGAATTACACATATGATGTTTGTCAATCTTAAAAAATAATTTCCATGTCAAAAAAGTCACAGTTTGTCGTAAAACTGTTGAAATATAAGACTATGACAAATACGCAACTAGAAAGACTACAAATCCCAGAATCCCGGTCCCGCATGCTAGCTCTTACAGAACCGACTAACTCCCCTTGTGTGTATGTACAGCTCTCAACGTGCCCAGACTTGGAGTGATTTTCACCTCTTTTAATACTTTTCGCCTCATTCTGAAAGAAAGAAGTGAAATGTTTCAACGTGACGGCCGTCTTGGTGTGTGGTGCGAGACGGGAGATGTAGTTCATTGAGCGGTTTCACACAAAAAAAGTGTTACTTCACAGTTTTACGACACATTTTAATTTTTTTGACTTGCAAAATTATCTTTTAAATTGACAAACATCATATGTGTAATTCGTGGCACAATTCAAACGGAATCGAAAGATAATCTTTCTCTCTCCATCGACTTCAATACATAATTTTTCCGAAATAAGGTCCCATGGAGGTCCCGCGGAAAGGGAGGGACTTCGCCACTATGGATGTCATCAGAATGTTTTTTTGGAGAATTCTTGACTTTTAACAAATGTAATCATTTTGTTTGTCTTGCTGAAATGGCATGTAACCAACAAAACAAAGCTGTCAATTCTCCTTTTATCATCATCTAGTTTATAGTCAAACATCATTTGTATAGCACTATAATTCATCCGTTTAACTTGAATAACTGATATTTTGGGGTCTTTTGATTAATTATTTTTATATATGGGTATGTTGTTTTACTGCAGGTAGCATCTTTGATTGATTCTTCGTCATGTGACATTCTCCGTACTGTATAGATGGACAATAACATTTATGGTAATTGAAAATGTCAATTTCTGATGAACCTAAAGGGAATAGTTTAGTGTTTGTAATGCTGCTTCAGATCTCTTGTGATTGAATAACCAGCAGTTTTATTCAGAAATGTGAGGTTTTTTCCAGTTTCTTCACGTACATCTGTCAAATAGTCGTGTGACAATTTACAGAGAATATAAATGATGTAAGAGAATTGTACACAAATATAAATAAATAATTCCTTCCTAATCTCTTATTCAATGCATTGCATCCCTCCATGAATCTCTTTTACCCTTTACATTAATGGACAGCCAAACTCTTGAAATCTATGTTTCCTTGTGTGAAGTCATGTGACGGATGAACCTGCTGTAAGCAAAGAAGCTCCCACCCTGATGAAGGAGAGTCAGCAGAAAACATGTGAGGGGTAAAGCATGGCATACTGGAGCTGTGCAACGGGTTTCATTTGATGGAGCTGTTTTGATTATCACTTAGAAACAGTCAGGAGTCACATTTACCTTTCTCAAACTCCACTGCAGCATTATAACATATACAAAGTAGATTCGAAACAAAAAAGAGGAATGCATTACATACTTTCCTGCAAAACACACATGTATTCACTTTGATACTTTATCTTGAGTTAGTTAAAACCTGCTGATCCAGTTGTTGATCAGCTGTGTGTCAATAATGATAGATCTTAATGTCAATAAGTTGTCAATATTTACTTATAATATATCTTGAGTATTATCATAAAAATAGCACCTTTATTTATTTTAACAAACCACGTTCTCCAAGTAAAATCTAATAGAAATGCATCATATTTTAAAAAAATAGAGATCGCACATCAGTCCTGTGTACAGATCAGTTCGATAAAGTCATGCTTAAACAGCGACATTTTACACGATAAAAACGGGTTTAACCCTCCTATTGTCTTCGTTTCCCCCCCTTACTTTGGTGTTCTCGGTCAAATTTGACCGGTCCTGTTTTAACTGCTATTACCAGAGCCGGCCCGACCCATTAAGCGACATAAGCGGCCGCTTAGGGCCCCGCAGCCATTAAGGGGCCCCCTAGCAACAACAAAAAAAAGAGCAAAAAAAGAGAAAGAATCTCAGTGATAAGTATGTTTAATTAATTGTGTTAATATGCCTAGATTGCCTACTCTCAAAGTCATGTATTATTTTATTGAGTCAATAATATAATACATTAACTGTGCTTTACCTTCATCATGACACTAGAGAGGACGACAGGATTGTAATTTCCCGTGTTCAGTGAATGCAACAGAGGCAAGACACCAGACCAACCAGAGTTTAATGGAAATAAACATCTGTCTTATTGGCTGACAGGTACCTATCCTGTGAGCTGTGACAATGTTTAAAATAAACTGTCAGTCGGACTTTGAAGATGGACATAAGAACATTTTTTCTTAAAAAAGACGACAATTCTCAAGTGGTGGCTCGCACAACAACCCCAGAGCCACCACTTGAGCCAAGTAAACAAGGTATGTAAATATCAGTAAACTTCCAAGTTATGCGAACATGTAAGCAAAGCATAAATTACAGCTGACGTTACTTTGAATCACTGGGGTAAGCTAAACCGTTAGCAAGTAGCTATAGCTAGCCAGATATAATAAATAAACACTTTGTCATACAATCTAAATGTAATGTTTTTTAGCGTTACCTGGTGATTTAAAAGAAAGCTCTCTGGGAAATGTTGACTTACTGTTCGACATGAAGCTAGAAGCTACCTTACAGTTGATCCGGAGTCCTGTCAGTTAAAGTGTTTCATAGTTAGCCAAGCATCAACCTAGCACTGAAATATATGGATGTTATGTGACAGTATTTCTGAGTAAAAGTCAGCTGAAATGGTGGCATAGTTGCCACTGCTTTACGTGTTAACAGCATGTTTGAATGTATTTGCAGCAGTAAATGTGGCTGTTTGGCCACTGACGTTGCCATAACAACACCTGAATTTAAATGTGCAACCTCTTTTTGTGACAGATTTTTGCAAGACATTATAATTCTTCTGAATGATATTCCTATTGACGGCTAGTTTCTATGTGAACATTATGAGATGGACAGCCAGAGAGAATAAATGAAAAACAGTTATGAAATACTATATGACAAAACAATAATACAGTTTAAGTGATTTGTAGAATATCCATAAAGAAAAATCTGTTTACAGTTCTGTTTCATATGGGTGTTGAGATGTATCCATAGATCTCTTAATTTTGCTCTCAAAGTGCACCAGATATATTCAATATTTAAAAAAAGAAATCTTCCCGGGGGAGCATGCGCCCGGACCCCCCTAGAGGAGGTTAGGTCCACGGTGTTTACATGCTTATTTATACAATATGTGTGCTTATACTAACATCATAAGACAAAAGTTGGTTCCGTGTCGTGTGTAGTGAGAACGCGCTAGAGTGAGGGGGGGCGCCAAAGCTCGCTTAGGGCCCCCAAAAGTCTAGGGCCGGCCCTGGCTATTACATTAACACAAACACCATTAATCATCTCCAAATTTCATTTAACACCCTTTCAAACTGTACATATTGTAGCAGACTACTGGTATACATGAAAAACTGCAGTAAATATACAAAGAATAGACACTGAACATGTATTGCGTGTGCAAGGTGTGATCCATGTGGGGGGATGTGCACATAAGAGCGGGAAATGTATCAAATTGTTCTGTGTGTTTGTGTGTGCCAGGTGTGATTCACATGGGGATTGGGGCACATAAGGGGGGAAACCATAGACTGTATATATAAAGGGGGAAACACATCTAGTGTGTGTGTGTGTGTTTGTGTGGGGGTGTTTGTGTGTGTGTTTTATCTGATCCGGATGGTTACTAATTCCTTTTTTTATGGCGATAATTTTTGACCGGGAACATCATGGGTGTTACAAAGTTGACTAAATCATCAAAAATTCAATGAAAGTGGTGATCAGCAATTGTATATGTTCAAATGTCTACTGTGAAGGATATCATAAAGCCTTCATCAATGATTGATTGATGAAAGTAGTAAATCGGTCAGATTTGACCCGAAGACAACAGGAGGGTTAAACAGCAGCATTTACCACTGAAGGCGAGTGGCAGCTACCGTAAACCTTCTCTTGCCCCGGCATCTTGTGGCAACTCCCGTTCAGCAGCGGCAGATGCCTCGGCGAGTAGTGGCATCTGCCGCTGATGCCGGAAGTACCTGCCACAGAATTCCACGGAGTACTAGTGGCATCTGTGGCTGCCACCGGAAGTACCTGCCACTGCCTGCAGATGCCACGAAATGAGCCAGGCCTTACTGCAAAATTATGAGCCAGTTCTGATATACTGTTTTTAATCAGGTGTCATTATTTCAGTTTTTCTTAAAATATTGTTTTTTTTATTTCACAGATTTATTATTTCAGTTTTAGTTTACAAAGCAGCCTGCTACACAGCTACTGTGTACACTACTTTAAACATGTACAGTTTTATCTATTATAAAAGTGAAATAATGGGACCACAGTAAATGAGTTTGTTACTGGCGAACATTGAATCTGAGATTAGTTTTCCAGTTGCTTTAAGAATTTTTAATACAACTCTATGCCTGTATTACTTTCTAATGTACACATTTTAACTCATTCATAACTCATAGGCTTCTTTTGTTCGAAAATGTAGTGTTTTCTTCATTATCTGTGCTTTTGTAAAAATAGTATTTTGTGTTCAGACCTTTCTGCACCCTTATCATTTGAGATGTAAAAGTATATATTTAATAATTATCCAAACTTTAAAAATAAATAGAAATAGATCGATACAGTTTGACTTACTCAATTACTAATTGTGTGTGTGTGTGTGTGTGTGTGTGTGTGTGTGTGTGTGTGTGTGTGTGTGTGTGTGGGGTATTAACTCCTCCTGTCCAGGTGGGGCGCCGTGAGCTGTTTGTTCAACGTCGGATACTAAAAGTGAGCGAAACTCAAACAAACAAACAAACCAGTTGCCGTTTACTTAGCTTTTACATACGCAACTAGGATTGCTATTTCTTTCTTTTGTTTTGAAGAAAGTGAACGACTAGTGTGCAAAGTATAACATTGAAACCCGCCATTACATAACGTCAATGAATAACCCAGTGAACTGTGTACAGAGAAGATAGTTGTCAGTGAGCTAGCATCAGGCTAACGTCTCCAATATGAGCAGGTTTAAACCGTCGACAAGCGGCAGGTGCAGAGCTCCTGTCCGGCCGAGCAAAGAGCCCCCAGTCCCCGGAGGAGTCAACAAGGTGCTGGCCGAGAGGAACCATGCTGTGGTGGCAGTGGGAGCCTGGGTGGAGAGCGAGCACGACTTTATGGAGCACCCATCTGTGAGTTTGGCATTTAATGCTAAAGAGCTAAGCTAGCTTGTACTGTTGCTAAGCTAGCTTGTACTGTTGCTAGGTTGTCGAATGAGACCGTTAGTGGTGATGACCAGACAAGTTGGTTAAAAAAGTCATGATTGTTGTTGAAATAAACGTGAAGTAACCTGAGTAAAAGTAGTAACACTGAGAAGGGAAGAGTATATAAGTACATTTACTGAGGTACTGTACTTTCATGCATCTTGAACCTCACATTGTACTTTTGAATCCACTACATTTTATTGACAGTATTAGTTATTTTGCAGATTCAGGTTAATAAAAATAAGTCAAGGAGTAAATTGTGATTTATAGATTAAACTACTCAGCAGTACATATGTTTACACTAAATGAGGTCCACCTTTACCAGCTGCAATATTAGTTATGCTTGCACAATAATGCACTAGAACTTTAGGTAGTATGTAAGTCAAAAGTATACTTAAGTAGAGTACTTGCAAATGTTGTAAATCTTAAAGGTATTTGATGTGTTGTCGTGGGCTTTTCTTCTTGATTTATATTCTCTATTCATTAATCAATCAATTTATTGGACTCAGAACTGTGAAATATTTTTAAATGACCTTCAAATTTACCAAACCCAAAGCACTATTCATTAAATTAATTTAGAAAACGCTTGATACATTCTCACATTCATATCAATTTAGAGTCCTGACTTAACCTAAGGTGCTCCAACTTGTTTTCCCATGTCTTGATTCAGGCTCTTGCTTTGCTCACTGAAGAGATCCAGGCAGAGAAGAGGAGGGAGACTGAGGAGAGCCTTCTACGATTTCAAGAGGAAGTACGCCATCGTGTGGCGCAGCAAGCTCAAGTCAGCAAGAAGAGACCGCAGCCTCACACCAATCCCATGGTACACATATCATTATCATGACTTATAGAGTTATAGTTAATAATTTATGTAGCAGTATTTACCCATATTTAAAATGGGTGATTGATGACTTTATTTTCACATATTTTAGTATTTTCAACAATGAATATCTTCTTTCAAATGTTTAGTGTACAAGACTCAGAAAAGTGTGAAAATGCATATCATTAATTTGCTTTTTTAAATAATTTCTGCACTATATCATATGCATGAAGCCTGGCAGAGCTTTCTTGTTTTCAAAAACTGTTGTTCTTCCTACCTGATCAACCTGCTCATTGTAAATGTGTTCCATGTCCAGGTGAAACCTGAGAGGAGAATCTCGCAGAAGCAGCAACATGTCTGGACTCAGCATGTTGCTGGGGAGAGGCTGATGTCAGCGGGAGGCGCTGCACAACACAGGCTGACAGACAGCAGCCCTCAGGAGGTGAGAGGCTATTGCATATAAGTCATTTAAGTTTAGCAAGGTAATTTAATACTTGTATTTCTTTCACTGATTTTAACTGTTAAAATGATTTCTCCCGTATTTAACAATGTCACAATATATGCCCCTTCGCATTAAAGCAGTGGTGTCAAACTCAATTTCATCACAGGCCACATCAGCATTATGGTTGCACTCGAAGGGCCGGTTGTAACTTTAAGAATATATAAAAATACATATATAAATATATAATCTTTACAAAATAATGTATTATATTACATTATTGCCTCTGCATTGGATTATTATCGGATAGGGTAATAACTTCATAATTAACTACGTCTGAAAGCAGAAGTCTAGGGCAAATAATTGCAAGTCTCTTTAGTGGGAATGTCACAAAATGATTTAAAAAGAAAAGAGCAGCTATCCTTTGGTGTTTGTTTTTTTTAAAGTAAGATTTTGAAAAGAAAGTAAGTAATCTAATTCTGAGAAAAAAGTTAAATTTGAGATGCATTGTGGGACATGTAGTTTATGGGCAACTTACTTCTATAAAGTAGCATGTAACCGTATAATAAACATATTATATTCTTTGCAAGCTCTTATGGGGCCGCATAAAAGGAAGTTGCGGGCCGGATTTGGCCCCTGGGCCTTGAGTTTGACACCCCTGCATTAAAGTCAATACAATTGTTTTTTTTTGCTTGTGAAATGTCATCAAAACGGTGTTATGATTGATCTTCTTTACGGCAGTACTGCAAAAAAAATGGCAGGTTAGAAAGATATTGTATATATTCGATGTAATTCAGAAATGGTGTCTCCATTCTATAGTTTGTCCACCAGAGAGCACTGCTGATTAATTGCACAGCATTTTCAACCATCTTGGTTACCTGTTGGTTACAGGTGCTTTCGGATGTATCACTTAAAGATTAGATCCTGGACACTGATTCAATGTATTGGTCATTATCACACATTTTTAATAGTGTCATTAATTGTTTGATATAATAATATAATATATATATAAAATAATATTGGCGGATTTATATCTATCAGATATTTGCGGCTTTCCATATCAATATTGGCATTGTACTAAGCAGGGGCGGATCTAGAAAAATATTCATGGGGTGGCCAGAGGGTGGCAGGAGAATTTCAGGGGTTGCATCCCCTGGCAGAAGTATATGCTGATTTAATCGCAGTCATATCTATCAATGTTAACTTGGAAAGCCACAATATTGATGTTTTAACTCAATAACATTAGGTGACATTATTGTGGCACAACAGTAAATCCTTAAATATAAATATATAAGGTGGCAGACATAATTTAATGAATTTTAACTGAATGAGTTTGTCTCACTCTTAGACCAGCAGGGGTACCAAATATTTCCAGACTGCTGCAATAAGTACATTAATTAACTGTCTCATCGATGTTTGTCTGAATGAATATGATAATATTAACAATCATATCATTCCTATCAGCTGTCAATCACTGTTATGATTCACATGTTCAGTGTTATTATTAAATAAACTATATTTTTTGGAGGAGTTAATGATGAATGTTCCTCAAGATGCTTGCTCACCCTCCTTGAATTTTGAAAGACAAGTAATTACTATCATAAATCAAAAGAATCAAAAGAACAGTTCAGCGCCCCACAACTTTACTGCAAACAGTTACAACCTTGACTTTACATCAGAAAGAACAAACATTAAAGAAGTGACTAACTGCATCAGTTAGGGTTACAAAAACGTGTATTCAGCTAAAACATATACATCGCTGCAGTTATTATCCAGTGGAAAGTCCTTACCTACTGGCCTAGTTCAATCAAAGTGGTTACTTTCTGTTGGCTGGGCAGTGAAGTTTTACACACTGTCTTATTTGACTTTCTCAGGACTTGAAACTGTTTTTTGGGGGCAGACCCCCACAAAGAAAACAAAAATATTATACACACGTAAGGTCATCATCTTAACAGTTTATTATTCTCATTGACTCATCCGTGTGCAGAGCATCAAGTTAGCATGCCTATTACAGCTGAATGTGGCGATTACCATCTTGAAAGCAAAACGCCTCACAAACTTATTAAGATTTAAAGCTATGGTGCGTTTTGATTCAATGCTGAGTACAGCCAAACTTGACAGGCTCTTCTCTGTCATTGTAGACCGCAAACAGTGGCTCCAGAGTATTTGTGTTAGGTAATCTGTGGTAGGGCTAACCCATACAGTGGTGGGGCTCAAGTCAGTATTTGCAATGTAATTACATACACGCTCCCCTTGACAGTGAAACACCACGCGAGAGGTTTAGATTATTTCCCTGTCTCAATCCAAATTGAACTGTATGAAATAAAAAGGCACATTTGTCTTGCAGTAAATAAAAAGGGCGACCAGCTGGAGCCAATCCTGCAATTTCCCCACAGGTGAAAGAGTTGACATGGAGATTTTTTGAAATACTAACATAAAATACACATTCTGGTACTCTCTTGAGAAGAAAAATAAATAAATCTATTACTACACGACATATTTAAAAAAATGAATGGTATTTTAGTTTTTTGTTACTTTGTTCTGAAAGCTGAACCTGCTGCTCCTCACAGATGCCCCTTTCACACCAACGCGTTTTCAGGCTCCAGCTCCGGCTCGGAGCTGGAGCCTGAAAAGTGCCGGTTTTTCCTGTTCACACCGCAGCGGCGCTGCATTCACTTGCACTCGGACATTAGAGATTTTCTCTCATAAATGTCCGATGAGCCACAACTTTTTTTTCAAAACAAAGCGGCCAACAGGGGTGGCAGCTGGAGTGGCAAGGCCTTTTTCTGAGGTGGCAGCTGCCACCCCGTGCCACCCCGTAGAACTGCCACTGGTACTAATTTCCTCTTCACACTGCAGCGGAGCAGCCTCTTAGCTCCGGAATCCGGTTCGTTTCAAGCACCAAAAAATTGTCCGGCCAGACCAAAAGCACCACATATGTCACGCTTACGTCGAGGCGGGGGGGCAGGGGCGGGGGCGGGATCAACTCCTGAACAACAACAAAAAGCCCGCGTTTTATCCAGTTTGTACACAACGATGGAGAAACTTAACAAGCAGCAGTGGTCCACTGAAGAGACCAGCTACCTACTGGGAATCTGGTCTTCCGAAGAGGTACAGAGGAAGCTGGAGCACAATCGGCCATTGTTGTTGTTGTCGGTGTCAGCTGTGAGGGGTTTCCGCGCGGTTTGGCTTAATGAAGCAGGCACGCAAACGGTTACGTCATGACGCAAACGATGACGCAATGACGCAGCACCTAGCACCTGTCTGACTCTGGGCGGTGTGAAAAGAGCCTCCGCTAAACCGAAGAACCTGTTCTGAACCTGAAAAGCTTTAGCACGGAGCTTGAACCGGAGTTGCGTTGGTGTGAATGAGGTATATGAAATCCTGTGCTTGTCAGGTATGTTAAATGTGGAGGATCAAAGTCTGCCGAGGGTCCCAAACAGACTTTTATCCCCCTTTATAATGTCAGCCCTATTCCCTTCAGTGTGTTGTGCAATGTGTGTTGTTTGTGGCAGTCAGAATTGCTTGGTGTCCTTGTGTGACTAATACAATAATGTGACAGTGATTAATTTATAGGATGATTTATTTCCATGATTTTCCAGCCTAGAGGAGGCATGAGGCAGGTGAGACTCAGACTGGCTTCCTGTCGGATGATCCCGCATGGGGAAATGACGTCAGACCTTCCCGGCGGCGCATGGAACATCTCTTCAACCAGACATGTGAGTGTGTGTGTCTCACACTTGTTCCTCTTTTGTTCACACAATGTTCCCTATGTTGTGTATTGGTATTCTCCACATCCAGGGTGATATTAAGCACATTTTCCGCCAAACAGAAATCTGATGTGCTGAGAGGAGAGCAGCAAGGGCAGGATGTTCAGGGAGGAGAAGAAGAAGAAGAGGAAGAGGTGGATGCACTTCTCTTCAACAGTCAACATGAATGTCCCCTCGTTCAGCAAAAGGTTAATAAATATGCACGGTGCAGCAGTTCCATATTATTTTTTATAAACTGTTAATACACACTTAATTTGTATAAAAAAGACACACAGTTGCTGCTTAACAACAGGAACATGCCAACATGTAACTGTAGATATAGGTCTGATATTTAAAAATGGAAAAAGCTTATTCATCAATGAGCTTTGAATTGTATCACCATGTTTATGATGTTATACCAGATGGGAAATATGACAGGCTAAGAGTTAGTGAAGGCCTCTGTTTAAACCAAACACAGCATTTAATAGATGAGAGTAACACCTACGTCAGTTCCGCCCACTTTTGGGGGAAAACAACGCTGTCATTTGAATGGCGGTCAATACAAATTCTGAAATTGTTGCCAATCCGATCAGAAACTTAAGAAAACCGTGGATTTTCTGATCTTCAAAGAGCCCAATTACGATGGCCAGTCAGGCAAATATTACATTAAATCATTGGAAATCGACGATCGGGCTCGATATATGGTTAAATTAAAATCAGTAGGCAAGGCCGTAATTTTCGCCGGCTGTTACTCTCATGAGCGAGGCGGAAAATAATAGCTGTGTCGTTTATTGCACCTCAAACATTAAAACAAATCCAGAGTTCAGTGTTTCTGGACTTCCTCTAAGAAGACAGGACAGTAAAAGAAGAGCTCTGTGGCTTCAGGCTCGATCGCCATTCAAATGACAGCGTTGGTTCCCCCAAAAGTGGGCGGGGCTGTAAAGTGATGTAGATGTTACTCTCATCTATGGACATCGATCGCCTACTGCTATATTTAACCATATATCGAGCCCGATCGTCGATTTCCAATGATTTAATGTAATTGTTTGCCTGACTGGCCATAAGAAACAGACTTATCTTGTTACATTTTTATTGACAACAAAAGCTAAGTGGTTAACTAGAAGGTGTACAATAAATATGTTGTTATCTGTCTCTGTTCTGTGTTTATGTCTCAGGTGAGCAGACCTAGGATGTGGGATTCGGACCTATCACAGCCTGATCCTGGTTCAAAGTCAGACCTCAGAGTCTCTCAGGCCCTCTGGCCTCTACCTGACCAGGAAGAACTGAAGAAACAGGTAGACAACGCAATGAGCTTCGACTTAAGGAGTTTAAACTCTGTCCTGTCAGACCACATTGTTCAGATAGCACGTCTCTCTCCCTCTGCAGCGTCAGTCTCAGTTCCTGATGCACCGCCGTCAGTACATGAACATTGAGAGAGAGCAAGTGAAGGAGAATAAACAGAACAGGAAACACCTGAAGAGGACAGCCAGGTGACGAGACTGCACTCATTTCTCCTGCATCACTTCCTGTTATTTGTGTGGTTAAAGTGATTCTTCGCCCACAATCTGTCTTCCGAGTACCAAACAATCTGTAGCTTTGAACGAAAGCCTGAAATGTTTTGTTTTTTTAAAACTTCAGCTTCGAGTTTAAATAATTGATTGTTAGGGCCGCAAATAACAATTATTTTCATTATTGATTAATGTGATTTTTTTTCTAGAATAGCCTATAAATCTTTTAGTCTCAATATTGATTATTACTCTACTGCTTGAATAGTTAAACATCGATTTATTATGTGCAACAATTTGAGAAGTTAAAAAGTGAAAGCCTTTTATTGTCATTGTACAAAAAATACAACGAGATTTCAGAGTGCAACCCTGTCCCAGTGTGCAATAACATACATGACATTAATAACACGGCAGTAGGACAATAACATACATGACATTAATAACACGGCAGTAGGACAATAACATACAGTGGGGCAAAAAAGTATTTAGTCAGCCACCAATTGTGAAAGTTCTCCCACTTAAAAAGATGAGAGAGGCCTGTAATTGTCATCCTAGGTATACCTCAACTATGAGAGACAAAATGAGAAGAAAAAAAATCCAGAAAATCACATTGTCTGATTGTTAAAGAATTTATTTGCAAATTATGGTGGAAAATAAGTATTTGGTCAATAACAAAAGTTCATCTCAATACTTTGTTATATACCCTTTGTTGGCAATGACAGAGGTCAAACGTTTTCTGTAAGTCTTCACAAGGTTTTCACACACTGTTGCTGGTATTTTGGCCCATTCCTCCATGCAGATCTCCTCTAGAGCAGTGATGTTTTGGGGCTGTCGCTGGGCAACACAGACTTTCAACTCCCTCCAAAGATTTTCTATGGGGTTGAGATCTGGAGACTGGCTAGGCCACTCCAGGACCTTGAAATTCTTACGAAGCCACTCCTTCGTTGCCCGGGCGGTGTGTGTTTGGGATCATTGTCATGCTGAAAGACCCCAGCCACGTTTCATCTTCAATGCCCTTGCTGATGGAAGGAGGTTGTCACTCAAAATCTCACGATACATGGCCCCATTCATTCTTTCCTTTACACGGATCAGTCGTCCTGGTCCCTTTGCAGAAAAACAGCCCCAAAGCATGATGTTTCCACCTCCATGTTTCACAGTAGGTATGGTGTTCTTTGGATGCAACTCAGCATTCTTTCTCCTCCAAACACGTCTAGTTGAGTTTTTACCAAAAAGTTCTATTTTGGTTTCATCTGACCATATGACATTCTCCCAATCCTCTTCTGGATCATCTAAATGCTCTCTAGCAAACTTCAGACGGGCCCGGACATGTACTGGCTTAAGCAGGGGGACACGTCTGGCACTGCAGGATTTGAGTCCCTGGCGGCGTAGTGTGTTACTGATGGTAGCCTTTGTTACTTTGGTCCCAGCTCTCTGCAGGTCATTGACGGTCCCCCCGTGGGGTTCTGGGATTTTTGCTCACCGTTCTTGTGATCATTTTGACCCCACAGGGTGAGATCTTGCGTGGAGCCCCAGATCGAGGGAGATTATCAGTGGTCTTGTATGTCTTCCATTTTCTAATAATTGCTCCCACAGTTGATTTCTTCACACCAAGCTGCTTACCTATTGCAGATTCAGTCTTCCCAGCCTGGTGCACGTCTACAATTTTGTTTCTGGTGTCCTTTGACAGCTCTTTGGTCTTGGCCATAGTGGAGTTTGGAGTGTGACTGTTTGAGGTTGTGGACAGGTGTCTTTTATACTGATAACGAGTTCAAACGGGTGCCATTAATACAGTTAACGAGTGGAGGACAGAGGAGGCTCTTAAAGAAGAAGTTACAGGTCTGTGAGAGCCAGAAATCGTGTTTGTTTGTAGGTGACCAAATACTTATTTTACCGAGGAATTTACCAATTAATTCATTAAAAATCCTACAATGTGATTTCCTGGATTCTTTCCTCCCATTCTGTCTCTCATAGTTGAAGTGTACCTAGGATGAAAATTACAGGCCTCTCATCTTTTTAAGTGGGAGAACTTGCACAATTGGTGGCTGACTAAATACTTTTTTGCCCCACTGTACATGACATTAATAACACGGCAGTGTTCCCTTATTTAGCACAAATGTGTCTGAATGCTCTAATCTCAATATGTGATTCTATAGCATTAGACTCATCAATGTCCCTGTCTTCCCTGAAGTATTAAAGCAGAGAAAGAACAGGTTCGTGTGGAGGAGGAGAGAAAGTTGGAGAGAGTCCGGCAGCTCGCTGAAGCCCGACAGAAGCTGCAGGAGAGAGAGCTGCTGGTCCTGGAGAGACTGAATCTGGAGGAGGAAGAGGACGAGAGAGCTGAGGAGCTGCAGAGGAGGAAAAGGGAAGAGCAAGGGAAAGTATCTGCAAGGTAAGACAGTTATTTACCAATCTTCACTGATTTGAGTATGCTTATAGGTCGACAGGTTTTACTGCATATGTGAAAAGTTGTTGTTTAAAGTCTTTTGTGGCTCTAGAGGAAGTCTGACTCTTATCACTTCTGTTTCACACCGTTGAGGTTCACAAGTGGCTTCGTGAATCTGATAAACAGTTGTTGTGACTCTGCAGGTTCATCGAGGCTCTGAGAGCTCGGATGAAGGAGCGAGTGTCTCAGGAGAAGCTGGAGCCTCCTCCTCCTCTCTGCTGCTGCGCATCGTCTTTCTGGGACTCCCACCCCGACACCTGTGCTAACAACTGCGTCTTCTACAACAATCCCAAAGGTACTCCCTTCACACCAGGGCTCTCGACTAACTTTTTTCACCATCCTCCTGGAACCGTCTCGAAATATAATCTAAGCCGTCCCGAAATTAATGTGGACCGTCCCGAATTAAAAATGTTAGTTTTTCTACATTATCATTAGTTAAAATCATTCAAAGTGACCTTTAACATAAATAAAACATCATACAAATCATTAGATGATAATTCATCAACCTTTTTATTTGAGTAAATCATTCAATCACAGAAACAAAGGCCAAATATATTTAAACAAACGAGAAAATTACTCTAACGGCCCCTACACACGGCGGCGTGCGTTGCCGCTTCAACGCTTCTGCCCATTCACTTTGAATGTGGTGACGTCACGATTCGCCGAACTGCATTGTGGGAGCAAAGCGTAGCTTCTCTCGCGGTGCTCGCTGCAAAAGTAGAGCAATGTTCTACTTTTGCCGCCTCGACGGAGGCGTCAGCCACTCAAATCCCGCGTATGCAAATCTGACATTACAAGCGCTAGCCAATCAAACCGCGTGTATGTTGGGAGAGCCAGACCGCAGTTATTTCCCATATGTCAAAAAATGGAGGAGAAAATGATCGTGGCGGTACTATATGACCAGTCCCTCTTTACATACAGGGATACAAACCGGAGGAGCCAGGCATGGGGGGAGGTGGCAGAGACAGTGGGTGAAACTGGTAGGTTTTCGCCTGTTTGGGGAGTTTATATCCAGTGTACTTCGTTTGAATGGACAGCTAGCAAGCATAGACAGTATATTTAGCCAGCATGGATGTAGCATGAATGCTTTGCTTTGTATGTCCGGGGCGGGACATTCATGTGATTGGTTGTTGGTCGCGTTGTTCGTAAAAAATCCCCAAGCTTCAGACACGCCCACCGCCAAGCGGTAACGCACGCCGCCGTGTGTAGGGGCCGTAATGTTGAATCCAATCAAGTCCCATCCAATTAACAAAAAAATCCAACACACTGTCCTGAAGACAGAACCCAGAGTAACCACTAACCAGGATGACAGTCTGTAACACAGTCAGGAGACCTTTACAAACTGCCCCGCCCCCTCGCACACAGACGGGAGAGAGAGATCTCGTCTGGATTGGAAAGCTCGAAAATACATCATAGACGCATGTTGGAGTCTTATTGCATATTAGAAACGGAGTTGGCGAAACTAAAACTGCGATATAATGTGTATGTAGCAATAATACATATGACATATATTTTTTAAATGTCTCCAGTACAGATAAAAAGTCCGATAACGTCGGAATTTAACGTTACCACTGTCTTTAATAATTCCGGCCCGCGGCCCGTTTAACACCGGGGCTCGGTACCCATCCCTACATGGGGAGAGGCGCAGCATATTGCTAAGGACTAAATACGATGGAGGGTTCTCATCTCAGCCTTATTACCCATAGGGGATGAAGAGGAGTAAGTAAATAAAGAGGCCGGCGCTCCAGGGTCTGGTTCTGCTGTGCGTTTTTGTGATGTAACGGTAAAACATTTCAGAATTCCTCCACGGGATGCCATTGTTCATCACTCAACCCGCGAAATACACACACTCAGTACATAGCTAGACCTGCGAATTTGCGGGCCAGGAATTTGCGGGCACAGCTGTAGCTACGTACTGCGTGTGTGTGTGTATTTTGCGGGTTGCTAAATGTTTTGTGCGTGTGTGTTTATGTTGACAAGGAGGTTTAATAACTGTGCTACACAAAACGTGCAGTCAGTTTCATTTTCAGTAATTTTTGTCTCTTCCACAGCATATGCCAAGGCGTTACATTCAACAATGTTGAGTTTGGATTTGCAGTCAAGGTGAACTCAAACTGAAAAGAGATCCATGCTCTCTATTGGAAGGAACATTTCGGGAAATACAACGCAAGAAAACTCAACTGAGATTCAGACTGGAAGATTGATGAAATGTTTTGGTTTTTCGTGCGTTCAGTGCCCAGACTATTTTTAGCCACCAGACTGATGCATCTTAATAAATATCAGGTAGATTGCCTTGATATTCTTTCCCAGAGATTCATGTTTTTCCATGAGGTGAATCCAGCTCCAGGAGTCCCAAACTTTTCAACAAGTTATGTCAACGACACCAAATATCTCCACAATGAGAGACATTGATGGATTTAAAGTGATGATTGATCCCAGACTTTTTTTTTTACTATAGACCTGCATTACTTAAGACAAGAGATACTGTAGATTCATAAACGCAGACTCACTCACTGGAGTTCCTGCTTTAACAAAATAATTGTTGTATTTTTTTTATGCAGATCTTATGCTATGAATTGGAGAGGTAAACAATTACAATTGTTTGTGAGAATGTTGCTGTTGTTGATATAAGCATCAGATTGTAATTGCACCAAAGACAGATTCTCAGTGTAGAGGTAAAGATGTGTAACGTTTTATACACATAAATGACACATAAATGAATGTACTTTTAGTTTATTTATTGCTAATCAAGAAATAAGCATGTAAGCTTTCTCGCTACAAAGCTGTGATAAGTATGTTATCAGGAAGGTCAGTCAGTACATGTCTAAACTGGTAGATTTGCTGTTTGTTGTGTGGCATTTTTGAAGAATCTACTTTGGCTCATGTCAGCTGGTTAAACATTTTAATAAAAAACGAAATTCTGGACTACTTCAGGTAATTAGATTTTGTTCAAAATTGCTAAAGTATTCTAAAATTGTGCTTTTTGAATTACTTTATTTGTTTTATTATATTGTTTTTAAATGTATATTGTGTTACTTTAACTGAAGCACAGAAAAAAGAAAGAACAATATTAAATGTCTTCTTTAGCAAATTTATTTTCACTATTATTATTATTATTACTATGTTGTATTTTTTACAAGGGGGGTATCAGCTGTTTCTGACTCGCTGCTTCCTGTTTGTCGTGACGTCAGAGCGGAATGGAGTCACATGGAAACCAGGAGCCGCCGTCTGGAAAACCTTATGGAATAACACACTTGGGCTAAAAATATTAATCTTTTTTTAAATCTTACTCACAACCTTCGCCGCCTCCTTGTCTGAACTCGTACGGCTGCACAGATGAAGGCTGGCCCTCCGGATCTGGGGCATAATATAAACTCTCAGCCGGCGGGACAGTATGGAGGAATGCTGGATGTTTACGGACTGTATCACGGACCGTGACGCTACACGATTAGTTTTTTATTGCTTCAGCTAACACACGGCTTCTTATTATCTTAAACATCTGGCTAACATTAGCTTGCATAAAACAAGTTATTGTTTTACGTTAGAAGCTAGCGAACTCTTCTACGGTTTCAACCGTTACAAACCGTTCATAACCAGCCGGTAACTTGGCTACAAACAGTGCCTTCAACTGCGATATTAGGACTCCGAGGACATGCCTGAAATCTGACGCTTTTTAAAGTTTTACTCAAGTTTTCATTGAAAATGAAGTCGCCTCTGGCTCCCGGGATACGGTTACTCACGTCCTTTTCTCGAGATGGTTGGTAAGTGTCCATTCCTTTTGTTCTCGACAATCCTAGTTAATGGCATCCTAATTACAGCCGTTGACCGTCTGGGTGTTATCTCTTTGCTGTGAATGATTGGCTTAACCTGGCCGACAAACATACATTCTGAGAATTTGATGGGGGGGACAGTTAACCCAGTGTTTACTTTATAATTAAGTACACCACAACATCCTGCTACTTGTTCCACACTCTCCACCACCGCTTGTTTTCGTCGTGGTAGCAGGAGCGTTTGGGTTCCGATGTGAAAAACAACAGCCACGCCAAACTAACTATACACAAAAGTGACATTTTAAAGCTTTCTCTCTCATCGATATGCATTTGACCTTTAATCGATACAGTCGACAAAATCAAGAATTCCAAGAATTTGAATAATCAAAGTGGTGCTTTATTGTAATAACACTTCAGTTTCAGTTATCCTTTCACATTCAGGACATTATACATTTATTTAGTTTGATGATTTCACAACAACCAAGACACTGATGGCCCAGCAGTTTAGTAATAAAGCTCACACCCAGCATGAAAAGAAAAGGTGGGAAGTACATTCACTCAAATACTGTATTTAAATACAATTTTGAGGTACTTGTACTTTACTTGAGTATTTCCATTTTCTGCTACTTTGTACTTCTACTCCACTACATTTATTTAATACCTTTTAGTTACTTCACAGATCTGGATGAATGATGTGAAATCTAATCAAGTGTTGAATCAGACTTTAGTTCCACCTGGAGTAAATCCACCAGCTACCCTGCAGTATACAAAGTCATTCAAACTAGCTGCACCTTCACCAGCTTTGAGAACACTTTCATGATCAATCATTATAAAACACATCATATATATTATTCTGAAATGGACCAATCTGCACAACGACTACTTTTACTGTCACTATTGTAACTATATGTTGATAATACTTTTACTTGAGTAACATTTAGAATACAGGACTTTTACTGAAACAGAGTATTCCTACACTCTGGTACTTCTACTTTTACTCAAGTACAAGATCTGAGTACTTCTCCCACCTCTGGAAAATAACAGATACATGTATATTGTAAAACAGGACAACACATCCCACATGTACTAGCTGTCTGTTTGCTGCACTTGATGTAGTGAGTGACTTGTTCATCTTAATGAAAAATGTGTCACATTGTTGTGCTATGTTTCTTGTATATGGGAAGAATAAAATAACAATGGAGAAGGTCAACATTGTGTAAATGAGTCATTACACTTGGATGTGCCATTAACACTGCTGTCTGCTGGATACACCTGTACAATCTTAAGCAAACAAATGAGATAATAATAGAATCGGAGGGGTGAACCCCTCTTTAATGGTCACACATGCAGAGCACACACAGTGACATGTGTTCTCTGCTTTTAACCCATCCCAGTGCCAGGAGTCTAGTACTAGGAGCAGTGGGCAGCTATTGTACAGCGCCCGGGGGGTGGGGGAGTGTCCGGTGCCTTGATCAAGGGCACCACGGCAGGGCAGGAGGTGAACTGGGACCTCTCCAAGTAGCAGTCCACACTCCATATTTAGGTCTGGTCGGGGACTTGAACCGGCGACCCTACGGCTCCCAGTCCAAGCCCCTACTGACTGAGCCTGGCAGCAGACACCAAAGATACTTTATTTTATATATGCAAAATATTACAACAGCCCTGCAATAAAGTTTCAGTTTTGGCACAGGCAGGGTTACTGCTCAGATCCTTCATGCAATTAAAAGTCCTTACATAAACATTCAACTAATATTAGGATGGTAATACGAATGCATTCTGTTTAAGTTACAATTGAATACATGGGTGAGCCCCTCCAAAGGGTCACACGATTACCTTGAGGGGTTGTCAGATGATTAAAGTGGTATGAAAGAAGGAGAAACATAAAGGAAGCATTCATCTTCCTGTATTCCTTATTTTCTCCAGTCTCTTTACCCCTCCTCTTTACCCCTCCTCTTTACCCCTCCTCTGAAACCCCCCAGAATGAACACAGTTGATACATGACATGCTGTACTGTGTTTCTGCTAAAGAAAGCATTAAACATAGAAATATCTCTTGTTTTTATGTTCATACAGTCATTTCTTTATATAAAACCACTTTGATAACAGCAAGAGCTCTGGTCGTTTTTCTAAATATTACAATTAAAGTCAGATGAAATATATTCTGTTGTAACAATGTACTTAAATTGCAGTTATACACCACATTACTTTAGACCTTTTGATGTGTTATCAGAAAGAATTGTCCTCAACATCCTCTTTTATCTCTCTTGCAGTTATCGCGGGTTTATTCTTTTCCTCACCTTCCTCTTCTACACGGCCCTACCATCTTTCACGGAAACCTATCAGCATTGTTAAGGTGACTAGGACAACTCAATTCTTTGTTATCTACTGTCAGGGACATGACACGTGTGGGTCAGGGGTCAAATGCTGCCAGAAATAGGCTCTCGAATTACACACATTGGACTCAGATCTTATCACATCTCATGTTGTATTGTACTGTATCTGGGAGGGCAATAATAACTGTGTCACTTAACCTTCTGCCTGTTATGTTTTTCTGTCTGATTCTCAGGGTGAGCTGCACAGAAATTGTTCCACAGTCATTCGGCCGGCAGACCTTAACATAACCAATAATGAGACGTGGTGTGACTGGGCGCCCTTTGGTAAGTCTTTTATTTGATTTCCACTGTAGTTCGCTCACTTCACTTATGAGTAGGCATTGCAGACTCTTAGTATATCAACAATCACTTAGTGCAGAAAGTCTCTGGTGCACTGGATACGTTGCCATAATCAGCTCAGCAAGGCCACTTATACCACACTGCTATTAACTGTCCTAAATGTTACTTCAAAAACTGAAAATAAAAATACAAGTCAATGCTTGTCGGTATTCGTTCACATTGCAATGCAACAATGAAACAGGAGCTTCTCCTAGCTGGGACAAAATGAAACTGTGTATGGGCGTGTCACTTTCCCAAATAATAACTTCAGAAATCCAGAGTCCTCACTGACACTAAGAAAGTGGATCACATCACTCCTGTTCTGAAGTCTTTACACTGGCTTCCTGTGTGTCAAAGAATAGATTATAAAATACTGCTGCTGGTTTATAAAGCTTTGAATGCTTTAGGCCCAAAATACATTTCTGACCTCCTGCTAAATTATGATCCAGATCTCTCAGGTCTTCAGGGACTGGTCAGCTTTCTGTCCCCAGAGTCAGAACTAAACATGGAGAAGCAGCGTTCAGTTATTATGCTCCAAATATCTGGAACAAACTCCCAGAAACCTGCAGGTCCGCTGCAACTCTGACTACTTTTAAATCCAGGCTGAAGACTTTTCTTTTTGTCGCTGCTTTTAATTGAACTATTCATATCTTAAACTGCACTGTAACTTTTATCCATGTAATTCGTCTTTTAATGTTTATTTTATTATCTTTTCTTTTTAATGACTGTTTTTAAATGCCATTTTCTTAATGTCTTTCATTTTTGTAAAGCACCTTGAATTGCCTTGTGTTGAAAGGTGCTATAATATATATACATAAACGTGCTTTGCCTTAAATGTATTTCCTGTTAATATAACACAGCCAAGTATTTCGATTTCTTCCCGTTTCGTTTTGCAGCTCCATAAACATGATATCGTTTATAATGTATGCACTCAGTATGACTTTTTGTATAGTGGCAAATGACCTTCTTCCGCGTAAACCTGACCTCTTGTTTGCATTATTGACAAAAATGATATATACAATATAAGAATGCCTTTAATCTATAATTTAATCGCACACAACGGAAGTGATTGTAGTGGTGCTGATGAAACATGCAGGACTATAAATGGTGGTATGGAGGAAGCTAATGGTTTCATCTGTCTCTCCCCTCTAGACCAGGACAACTACCAGACCCTGTTTGGGATCCTGGATAACTGCTTCCTGGTGGCCTATGCCATCGGCATGTTTTTCAGGTTTGTTGGGACTTTATTATTCTGCCTTTGTGTCTGAGTGTGGGTTTGTGTGCTCTACTGACTCATTTATTGTGTTCGCAGTGGGATATTTGGAGAGCGCCTGCCTCTGCGGTATTACCTGAGTTTTGGGATGATGATGAGTGGAATGTTCACATGTCTGTTTGGCCTCGGCTTCTACTTGAAAATCCACTCGATTTATTACTATGCGGTCATCCAGGTAAA